CTACTGGCTGAACTGGACTTCAAACAGCACTACAGCTGGCTTTGTCATGAGAAAATGTGGCAACTGGAGTATATGAGTTGCAGGGTGTTCCGATGGAAGTGGACACTCTCCCCAGTCCGACTGAGCTTGGGGAACATCACTTGAATGTAGGCAATGTATTTAGTAGAATATCTGTTTTGACTGCTGTGGAATCTCTCAACTGGATAACATTTCCAGTAGAGCACATGCCATGTCTTCTGAAGTAAGCAGTAGCTGTACTGGAACCAGCAGATTCAGGAATCTGTCATTGGCTGGAAATATTTTGTATATCCAAATTCCCTGTGTTCATGGTAGCATTCAAGCCATTTTAAAGCTTTCCTGTAAAAATGTTCAGAGATACTTATTAATAATATTACTGGAGACTAGTGGAAGAGGTGAGGAGTGGATGACTAGATTTTAGAACTGCTGCTACGTTTATGTGAAATGTCAAACAAAACAATGTAGGTCTATTATTTTGCGCTGTAATACTGGGATTGGTGGGGTGGGGGATGCGGATTGTGGAGATTACTCCCCTGCCTAATGCTGGCAATAACTGTGACAAAATTTCAGGAAGTTTATACATTTTCAGAGAATTCTGTTTCAAGCTGAACCTCGATGAAAATAGACTCTCGATATAGATGAAGTGTTCAGAAGTTCTTGCATAACTAGCTTGTAAAACAAAGTGCCTCATATTGAAAGAGTGACTGGAATCAGAAGATGAATCGATCTGTCACAATGCATATCTCTGAGTCATTGATAGTTTCTTGATATGTGCACAGGATTACCTGCAAAACATTTTATTCTAAGCTCTGAGCTGATAGAGTGAAGACTGGAAGATGGTCAAACTGCATGAAAATAACTACAAAGTCAAATGAGAAAGCTTGACGTATAGTATTAAAATTCAATGACCACTTATGGCAGAACCAAATCTGAAAAATTACCACACATCCTGGTTATTTTCATTGTCTAAACTATCTTCATTCTCCAAGATATCATACCTTCTAATAGAGAATGTGACTGCCGAATTCAAAAAGGAAGAAGGACAAAAAGCAGGAAACTGCATGCCAGTTAGCTTACTGTCTGTCAAAGGGAAGATGCTATAAGCTATTATTAGAGATGTTATCGCAGGGCATTTAGATGATCGCAAGGTAATCAGGCAGAGTCAGCATTGCCTTGTGAAAAGGAAAGCGTGTTGAACCAATTTGTTGGAATTCTCTGATGACGTAACGTGTGCTATGGACAAAGGCGATGCGCTTAGAATTACAGAAGGCATTTGGAAAAAAAAGGTGCCATATCAAAGATTATTGTGGAAAATGAAAGCTCATGTTGCAGTGGATAAAAAATATGGCCTGGATAGAAGATTGACTGGCTAATGGGAAGCAGAGAATAGTCATAAATGGGTAATTTTCTGGATGACATGATTGAATGTGTGGTGTGCCACATCATTACTCGACCCTCATCCTTTTCCAATTTATATAAATGACTTGAACAAAGAGATAAAAGGTAAGGTTCTAAATTTGCTGATGACACAAAAATAAAAAGTAAATTAAGTTTGAAGAGGACACAAAGAGGCTCTAAGGGCTTATAAATAGGTTAAGAGGGTAGATAAGGATGTGGCAAATATAGTATGATGCAGGAAAATGTGAAGCTGTCTGTATTGGCAGCAAGAATAAAAAATAAGCAGATTATATAAACGGAGAGAGATTGCAGAGCTCTGAGATGGAGAATGATCTGGGTGACCTAATGCACAAATTACCAAAGATTAGTATGCAGGTGCAGCAAGTAATTTGAAAAGCTAATAGAATGTTATCTTTTTTTGGAGGGGGAATTAAATACAAAAGTAGTGAGGTTATACTTCAGTTGTACAGGGCACTGGTGAGATCACACCTGGACTACTGAGTCCAGTATTAGCCACCTTATTTATTGGAGGATGTAAATGCATTGGACGCAGTTCAATGAAGGTTTACTTGTGTAATACCTAGAATGAACAGGTAACCCTATAAAGTGGAATAGACTAGGCTTATATTTACTGGAGACAGTGGTGTGGAGGTAATTTCTCTGCCCTAGTGTTCCTTTAAATCCCAGGTTAAAATAGGGCTGAGTTCAAATCCAAACATGGTGGCTGGTGAAATCTGAAATCAGGAAAAAAATCTGGAATATAAAGCTAGCCAAATAGGAATTATGTCATCATTGTCAGAAAAAAATCTGGCTGATTAATCTCTTTAGGGAGAGAAATTTGTTGATCTACACGTGACTCCAGATCCATGGAAAAGAGGTTGACTCTTAAATAAAACAAAGAACTGCAAATGTTGGAAATGTCAAACACAAACAGAAATTGATAGAGGAACTCAACAGGTCTGGTAGCATCTGTGGAGAGAAAGCAGAGTGAACATTTCAAATCCAGTAGCCCTTCTTCAGAACATAATCATAGAATCCCTGCAGTGTGAGAGCAGGTAATGTGGCCCATTGAGTCCACACTGACCCTCCGAATATCACTGCACCCAGACACACCCAATCCTTCTAATCCTGCATTTCCTATGGCTAATCCACCTTTCCTGCACACTATGGGCAATTTAGCATGGCCAATCCATATAACCTGCACATCTTTGGGTTGTGCAAGGAAACCAGAGCACCCGGAGGAAACCCACGCAGACACAGGGAGGATGTCTGTGTGGAGTTTGCACATTCTCCTGAGGGTGGAATTGAACCCTGTGCTCCTGGCACTGTGAGGCAGCTGTGCTAACCACTGAGCCACTGTGCCACCTCTCAGTTGACTCTTAAGTTCCTTTTGAGCAATTTGGGATGGGCAATAAATGATTGCCTAGCCAGTGACACCCACATCCTGTGAAAAACTTTTAAAAAATGCTTTGAAGGTTAAGAGTTGACTTGATTGAAACCTATAATACGCTGAGAGCCCTTACAGGATGAGTGGGGAAATCTAGAACTAGGGGTCATTGTTGAGGAAATATTTGTTTTCTCACAAAGGATTGAGAGCCTTTGGACCTCATTTACACAAAAGGTTAAGAAAGCCGAGTCGTTGAGTTTTTTTTTATGGCAGAGATAGATTCTTGGCAAGTAAGGAGTAGGAGGTTATTGGAGGTAAGTAGGAATGTGGAATAATCAGATCAGCCATCATCTTATTGAATGGCAGGGCAGGCTTTAGTAGCCCTCTCCTGCATCTATTTTGTATGTTAATATGTTACAAGCTTTATTTATACAAGTTAATTTTTATTCACTTAATGTGATAAAAGGAAACCAAAATTTAAGTACAAAAGTTCAATAATTATTGAGAATGGAATTGTAGAATTGACAATTGAATATGTGACTTGCCTTCCTACAACTGAATAGTTTGAAAATCCATTCACAACCTTTCTTGTACCTTGAACTTTGGGAGCAGTTTTCCCCTCCTTAAATTCTTAGGTAAAATATACATCTGTCAATTGGCTTCAGTTGTTGATTTTGTAAAGCCTGGTTCATCACTAAGGTGTCAAATCTTTGGCTTGTGTTTGGTCCTTTAATTCCACCTTGTTACTCCATTTATATTTATTATCTGCACTGAATTTGAGGTATAGGATCATGGAAAGGCTTTTTTTCCCATAACAGTGGAGTTTGCAATTGGGCAACCATGTATGTAGATACTAGCCTCTGTCGTCACTAACTAGGATTTGCCCTGTTATTCTGCCATCTGCTGCTGTCAATGCTGCTCATTTTGGCGCAGCTCTGGGCGTATTTTCTCTTGGGACAAGCTGCTGTGTACAAAGGACATCCTGTGGAGCAGGTGTATCTGTCATTGAAGATCATCTGGGTTTTGGCTCTTGTCTGGACTGAGATTTGATGAATGTCAAGCTTTATATAAGAAGGAAAGTCACCAAGTTAACATTATATCAATACATACTACTCAGATCCCTGAAACTGCCGTAATCATTTTGTTCTCTTTACTATAGCAACCTTAAGGTCAAAAATTTAAGGACATTGCGTTAGCCCCTGTGTAGGGAAAGGAGAAATTAGTCATAACATTCAGCATGAGTGTACTTCTTAGTTAACTATATCGGAACCACATACCCTCATGATGCAAAACTTTGGACTTCCCAAAACCAATCATCATTTTATGTGTTAGCCTTTCAGTTTCAACCTTGCTTAGAATATAAAATATTGAATGTCTTGTGATGTCTGAATACATCTCATTTGTATAAAGATGTGCACATTCCTGGCAGCACTCATCATTTTGATGTTATGGCCATACCTAGAGATCTACCTGGTGGTGGAGCACAAGGGTTTTTGTATCACTGTTTAACACAAACTCCTTATACCAGTTTCCTAACCCTCTCTATTTTGTACCCAGAGATCAATTTATTGTAAGTTGAAGGAGAAGGAGAGGATATTTGGATAAATTATTTTGATGTTTTTTAATTTTGTATCCCATTATCAGAAGTGATAATTATTTTAGCACATGACCATGGGTTAGTTAAGCATTTGGCTTTATCTGGTATTTTCAAACCTTGCCTTTTAATCTGTTTCAGTCAGTTTGGTACACGATAATTCACTTTAGTTGATATCAATTGCTTTGCTTTTCTAATTTTTAAATAATTAATTCAAGTGTGGATCCAATGACTGAAATAAAATATGGAATAGAACAAAATGATTACTTAATAATGCATTCACATAACTGGTCTACATGAGACTGCCTCCTTCAACCACATTTAGAAACTGATGGGGGGTGATGGAGTACTAAAAACCCTTTGAATGTGTATTTACTCTATAAATTAATAACTCAAGTTGATCCTGCATTAGGAGACAATCTGAATAGAGATTTTTTTCAGATACACTTCTGTGTGTCAGGGCAAGCCCACGCAATGAAAGGACATGTGAGTTTATCATTACCATTTTCATTATCATTCTTATCATTATTGCAAAGATTTATAATAAGTACTTTCCTCCATGAATTAAAAGCAAAATTTTACCTGTGTTCTTCCATTTCTTAGATACCAACAAATGCTGCACAGAAATTTGGTTTACCTGGCAACAATAGCAGATTCCAACCAAAATATGCAGTCGTTGCTACCTGCTGTAAGTAATGTACCAGTGGTTGCAAAACCAGGGTTGTGGCATGTTTGGCAAGACACTTAAAAGATCTACAATAATGAATGATATTGCTAGATCAATGCTCTACCTATTAACATTTAATTCAACCTCTCTCTCTGCAAACCACTACAGATCTGGCATAGGTATTTTTGGGCATTATGATGTAGAATTGCATATTTGCATCCTAATTAATAAAGAGATAATGATGAAGACTTATTTGTATAGCATATTTCATGATCACCAGACTTGCCAAAGGACATTTCAGCTAATATGGTAGTTTTGGAAATGTGATTACTGCTATAATGTAGATATGTGGCAGCCAATTTCCACCTAGCAAGCCCCAAAACAACAATGTGACGACAACCAGAGAATTTTTTTTTTGTTTCATTAATTGAAGGATAATTATTGACCAGGACACTGAGAATAAATTTCCTACTTTTCTTTGAGCTAATGTTGTGGGGGATATGTGACATCCACCTGGGAGGTCAGACAAGGCATTGGTTTAAGATTTCATTAAAAAGTAGTGCAGCACTTCTACAATGTTCCAATCATCAGTGTTAACTTTTGTGCTCGTGTTATAGAAGGGGAACTTAACTCGCAACCTTCTGTTGTGTGTTTTGAGATTAATTTATCACTTTTGATAAATGCACAACTCTTGATTAACTTGCAGTTTCTTGAATACTGATAGAACTGCTAGTCAATAGTTCTGCTACCCCTAGTACTGATCTGTTGTTAGGGTTCTTTGTACAGTTCCATTAAGATGTAGATTTCTTAGATTTGTGAAAAAATTCTTGTAAAGCAGTTGTGGGGTAAGTTTTATCAAGAACTTGCAGATCAAAAACGAAATAGGATCAGTTGAGATGTACATTAAATTACAGTTTTTCTGTGAATAACATTATTGGACAATGTCTATGCTAATTTATTTTTAATTAATTGCCTTTGCCTTGCTTTGAATAGACTATCTACAATTCTTGCATCAGAAATAGCACAAATCTGTTTCCAGTACTGATTTTAAAGGGTGTACTCTGTTTAATAATATGCAAAGATTTCTAATGAGCAAATGTGTAGTTTTTAATCCTCTAGCCAGATGCCAATTTACAATCAATTTAAACTTCCTTGCTTGTAAAACTTGGTTCCCTGTGGAAGGAGGTTAATTGAATGCTTTTGTTTATATTTGAAGATCAATTTTTAAAAACAGTCGAAGAAAATGGTTTTTCAAAAATTTGCATTTGCAATGACATGTTCCACGACCTCAGAATGCTCCAAAGTACTTTGAAGCCAGTGAAATGCAGGTACTGTTATAATGTAGGAAACACAACAACTGAATTGCACACACCAAGCTTTTCTGCAAACAGCAACAAGATAACTGCTCAAATCATCTGTTTTTAGTAGGTGGCTGAGTGATGACAATTGGACTGGATACCCAGCGAACCTCCCCGTTATTCTTCAAATAGTCCACGCGATTTTTTAACATCTACCTGCGAAAGTAGGTGGGGCCTCAGTTCAATATCTAAACTGAAAGTCTGTACCTGTAGCCATGTAGCACTGAAGGAGTGTCAATCTGGGTTTTTGAACTCAAGTCTCAAGTCTCTGACAGAACCACTAGGCTGGAAGCATGGCTGAAGCATTTTAATGTTCAATATTTGTTTTTGCTCTCACGAAGAGGAGCAAGATACAAGCTATGAAATTCCCTTGGCTGAATGCTTTAATGAAGACCTCAGATGATTCCACTTCCTACATCAGTCTGTACTGAAAGCAACCTGTAATTTATCAACAATTCCAGACCATTTTATGTTGTGATATGAGCGTTTAAAAACTGTCTATGTTGAGGTGACTTCAATGCATTTTCTTCAGGACTTCTACATATATTAGAGTGAACCATTTGGCCCAGTAGTTTGAAAACTATTGATCCAAATATTGCATTGTAAGTGGGAGTGATGGCACTCACTGCAAACTGAGAAGAAAAATGCTGAAAAATATTAACCGATTTGTGTGGTGTTCGGTTTTAATTTCCTGATTTGAACTTAATTCTGCTGACTGTTTTAGAGGATTTCAATGTCATCAAGCAGGCTAATTAGCCAATCACATCGAAGAATTCTTACAGTCTAAAAATCAGAAAATAACAAGTAGGTTTTATTGTTCACTTACAATGTTGTAAAAAGCAAAATAAAAATTGTGGCTTACACGTGGGGTTAAGGAAAAAGATGAGGTATCGTAGACCAATAAAACATGATAAATGTGTTGATGCTTTTTGTCATATGGACTGGAGAAATTTGATGATCCTCAAAATGAAGTCAGTTTTCAGGGCTACACAGGTTGTTGCAAGTAGTTATGAACTTGCTGCACTGTTTACTTGAAGTATAATAGTGTTTTTAACAAGGTATAATTTTTTTCACAGTGGGATTCATATCTTCTAATAAGTTCAAAATGATTGCCATCTTTGAGATCTTCAACAGCACACTTTCTGGAATAGTAGGGAACTGCTGACATAAACTTCTGGACTTCTGATTTTAATTCCACCTGTGCTGTAATTATTCCAGCTCGTGGTACTACTGGACCAGTCAGAGGCCAGAATGAAATCTGGCCTCCTAGATCATTTTTCTTTGGTTTACCTATTGGTTATTCACTGTAAATTTTCTTTAACAACAGAACAAAAGTTTATTTCACAAAAGATGAAAACAGAATAAAAAATCTGGAAAGAAAACAGGTAAAATAAAAACACCCAGCAAAACAGACTTTTAATCCATTCTCCAACAATATCCACTTGACAACAAATTAAATCCAGATAAATTACCCCTCTATATCCAACATTGAAGTTTGATGTAGTTGATTCTCCACTGTTCTTTACTGTTAACTGTGAAATTTTCTTACATGAATACACATAAAAGTGAGAGCTTAGACTTTCTCAGCTTTTTAATAACCTGCAAACCTACACAAATGCAGGTTAACTGTGCTTTGCCCAAACTGTTCTATACTTGTTTTCTAGGACAGAAGCTATATTTGCTTCTAACCCCATAGGTCTCCTCCAAACTGCCTAAAAACTATTAATCACTTTTTTTCTATACTAGAATCAATCCTTGATTTTTCTGAACCTCTAAGTGTTATAAACGAGCACAGTTTTCTGATATGTACTGAATTATATCTCTATTCTGGAAAGACTGTCTGATCTAGTTACTATTTTCTTAAAATGTTTCAGAAAAGTAATCAATCCTGAGTGTCAAGATTTTATAATCCAACCTCCAAAAAGTTACTAATAGATAAATCAAACACCCTTCATTGTAGTGGCACCAAAAAAATCCTGCCAGTTTCACAGAGAAATTGCAGCGACCACTGAAAGTTTTGTTGTCACTAAAAATCCAGCTATTGTTTTCATACTGAGTCACTTATTTATTTCTCCATCTTGAAATTTAAGGCTTTACATTTTCCAAGGCTTCTAACCTAATTGTACAGTAGACATCTAACTACTCAACTTTTGTGTTGTGCTCTCTACCCTAAACAATTTAAATTCACTGTATGTGTATTCTGATGATGATTTAAGAATCTGACCACCAATTATTTCAATTATTAGTGCATTTGAGATACTGTAATTATAAGACCATAAGATACAGGAGCAGAATTAGTCTCTTTGGCACATCAGGTCTGTTCTGCCATTCGATCATGACTGATCTGTTTCTCAACCCCATTCTCCTGCCTTCTCCCCATAACCTTTGAATCCATCTTAATCAAGAACCTATCCATCACCTTCTTTATTACACTCATTGATTTAGCCTCCACAGCCTTCTGTGACAATGAATTCCACAGTTTAATCGCATTGTGGCTAAAGAAATTCCTCCTCCAGTTCTAAAGGGTTGTCCCTTCACTCTGAGGCTGGGCCCTTGGTCCTAGTCTCTCCGACTAGTAGTAACATCTTCTCTGCGTCCACTCTATCCAGGTCTCTCAGTATTCTCTAAGTTTCAATGAGAAACCTTCATCCTCATCATTCCACCCCCCCATCCTTCTAAACTCCATTGAATATAGAACCAGATTCCTCAACTGCTCTTCACATGACAAGCCCTTCAACCCTGATATCATTCTTGTAATCCAAGGCCACTACACCCTTCCTTAGATACGGGACCCAAAACTGCTCACAGTATTCCAAATGTGGTCCAACTCGAGCCTTATACATCCTCAGCAGTACATCCCTGCTCTCATATTTTTGCACTCCTCGAAATGCATTGCATTTGCCTTCCTAACAGCCAACTGAACCTGCATGTTTATCATAAGAGAATCCTGAACTAGGACTCCCAAGTCCACTTGTGCTTCAGATTTTCGAAGCCTTTCCCCACTTAGAAAATAGTCTATGCTACCTACCAAAGTGCATAACCTCACTTTCCTACATTGTATTCCATCTGCCACTTATTTGCCCACTCTCCTAGCCTGCCCAACTCCTTCTGCAACCTGTCTGCCTCCTCAACACTATTTGTCCCTCCACCTCTTTGTGTATCTGCAAACTTAGCAACAATGCTCTTGGTTCCTTCCTCCAGATTGTTAATGTATAATGTGAATAGTTGTGGCCCCAACATGGATCTCTGCTGATCTCCACTAGTCACCGGCTGCCATGCTGACAAAGATCCTTTTATCCCCACTGTGTGTTCTGCCAGTCTATCCATACCAGTTCCTTGCCCCTAACACCATAACACCACCTTGTTTAGCAGCATCCTTTGTAGCATCTTGTGAAAGGTCTTCTGGAAATCTAAACAGATTATATCCACTAGCTCTCTCCTTTGTCTAACTTGCTTGTTTTTTCATCAAAGAATTCTAACATGTTTGTCGGGCATGACTTCACCTTGGCAAAGCTGTGCTGACTCGTCCCTATTTTACCATGCACTTCCAAGTACATCACAATCTCATCCTTAATAATGGACTCTAAACTATTACCAATGGCCAAGGTCAGGATAACCGGTCTGTAATTTCCCATCTTTTGCCCCCCTCCCTTCTTACACAGGGGTGTTAATTATCCATTTACCAGCCACTGACTCCACTGATTCTTGAAGGATCACAACCAATGCCTCCACAATCTCCTCAGCTATCTCCTTCAGAGCCCTGGGACGTAGTCCATCTGGTCCACGTGATTCATCCGCCTTCAGACTTTTCAGCTTCGCCATCACTAAGGCGAAGGTGCTGGCCACTACACTCACCCCTGTCCCCCTAACCCTCAGGAAGTTCTGGTATGCTGCTGGCATCTTCCACGGTGAAAGTTGATGTAAAGTACCCATTCAGTTCCTCCATCATTTCTTTGTTACTCTCATTGCTACTTCTCCAGCCTCCTTTTCCAGCCGTCCACTATCTGCTCTTGCCACTTCCTCACCATTTATCAGACAAGGATTTGGTAGATGTAACTAGGAATTAATCAGTTTCTGGATTAATGGCTGGAATTTTACATCCATGTCCTGGGAGCAGGTTGGTGGATAAGGGAAGGGGGAAAGCAGTGGGGGTAATTAGCTGGCATGGTGAGGCATTACCTATCTGCTAACACTGGCATTTTATCAATGGCCTGGGTTGATGTCTCATACCCCATTGACACCACTTGAAGGTCTCCTCTTCCCACTGGTATTTTGCCAATTGGAGGTGGTCTCCTTGTCACATGGCAAGGTTACGAGATGGATCCCGGCAGTCTGGATGTGAGTCCAGAATGGGGTAGGGTGAGGGTTTGGTCTGTCCAATTCTATTCCCAATAGAAGCCAGCCATCCCAGAGATGCTTGTTCTGCTAACCCTCTCCCCCTCTTCCTCCCACACCCCGCCAGGCATCCCAATTCTGGCTGTCAGCAGCCTTGCCAGGCCTGCATAACTTGCCCTGATGAAATCACCCGATTTACCAAGCAGTCTGATCTCTATTTTGTTCCCCTTGAGGAACTAGCTGCAGTCCCAGCAGTGGCCACTGCACTTGGGGGTGCTGCTGTGGCTTAGGGGCTGCCAAGCTATCCAATTGGTCGGCAGCACTTGAAGATGAGACATCCTGCCTGATTGGGGCAGAAGCCCCAACAAAAGACATTTAACAACAAAGGGTCCATAAAAGCAGGTTGTGAGTTCCCTGCCAGGCATCAATGGGCTTGCCATTGCAGATGACTGGGTGGGACAGTGGCTCCATGAAAAATGCCAGCCAATATTTCACATTTATCAACTAAAACATTGCACATTACTTTCCATATGAACAATGCTCAAATTGATTCAAAGTTTTATTTTGAGGTACTGTCGGAAATTGTGCCAGCTAAATAAACGAGTCACTTTTTTGTTCCTGGCCTGTTTTCATTCAGGTCACTCAGGCCAAAGAAGGCAGTGGCTCACTGTACAGATTACTTAAGAACAAAGTATACTCGGAGCCAATGGAAAAAACTGCTATTCATCAATAATGTGCTCTTTGTATGGAACAATTTATTATATTCGAGCTAGAAAACAAATTTGGTATTTTTCCATACCTTGATATTCATCTAATCTTTGGTGCAATGCTGCAGACGTAGGGAAATGTTTTCCATTGTTCAATACAGGGATCAGTGTAGAATAATAATGAAGTATTAGTTGCAGCGTCCATACATCTATCCAAAGAAAATATAAGGATCGTGAGAGCTGACAATTTAAACCTCCTTTCCCACACATCCACATCTCACTTTCCCATGAGGTTATTGATTTATGATAATGCAGTGGCTCATGTGCTAGGGCCCAATCTAATTTGAGGCAGTGAAGAGCTGCAAGTTGATAGTTTGCTGGGGGTGGATGATGTACAGCTGTTGAATCCAATCCTTTCATTGTACTTTCCAGCGGAGTTGCTGGGTAGGAGAAGAAATCCTTTTTTAAGAAAACCCTTTTCTATCCTGTGACTCACAGGCTAATATTTTCACCCTTAACCACTATCCTGGCTCGGATTAGCTAACCAGACATTGACCCTATCCTGGCCTACCTGAGGACTACATTAGTTAGTAAAGTTAATAGTTGTTCTGTTAGATTCTAATTGAAACAAGCTTGAACTTTTTAATTTTGAGCGTGTAAAGCAGTCTGCCTCTGACAAACTTCAGTGCAAAACAGAGGGGATGGATCATTGTCGTGGGTGCTACCTTTTTGAATGAGCTGATTTCTTCTGCCTGTTCGGATCATTTAAAGGATCCTATGGTGCTTTTTGAGGATCACAGATTAGCATTCCTCTTTCTACCATCCATCACCAAGCCACAAATATCTACTCATTCATTCAATTCATCTCAGAGGGATCCTGTTGGGCACAATTTAGCTGTGTAGTCGTCTATATATAACTATAAATGCACTTCCGAAAAAAAATCTGTATAATGTAAAGTGTTTTAGGATGTCTTGAAAATGTGATATCTTGGTATAGAAATGCAAATGTATTTAGTCTTTCTGTATGAATGTAATACTTGGTTTTCTCTGCTGTGAGATCATTCCCCTTCAGAGAAGACTATCTTAACTACTGGTAGAATAGAATAATTGCTGTGGTGATCTTCCAAGACATTGGAAAGTAGCAACATCTTTATTTTCAATAAAGGAATTTTAAGGTCTTTATTTTCTTTGAAAGTTTAATTATTAATTGTGCACATTTTTCCTCTGTGATTTCCTTTACTTAGCCACCTTCCCAAAACCTGTCAATGGGGCCAGGAGGAATGAATCTTTCTGGATCAAATCAAGCTTTACATTCACAGAATGTTCCCAATGACACCATGGGAGGAGGTATACCCCCTTCTCCATTAATGCAGAGCCAGATGAGCAATGGTAGGTTATCTAACAGCACTAAACAGTGCCAATGTTCTTATTTAATGTGTTGCAGTATTAAGGTATGGGATCTGCTAGATTATAAGTCAGAAAGATGAGTAGAATTCAGGCTAGTGTTATGTCTGGCGTATGGGATTAATTGCAAACAAAATATCTTTTTCAGTAACAACATCCACCACTGGTGTAGAAACTCACAAAGTCTTCAAATTAGTCAATATAACAATCTAAATGATGAATGGAAAATGTGCATAAGTCATGAAAACCTTATCATGAGTTAAATTGAAGCAATGTTCCTCAAAATGATGTTTACTTTTTCTCTTTATTTCTCCTATTTAATACAGACTGGTTCATATTGTAGTATGGCTCTCGGCTACTTTTCTATAAAGGCACTTTTTCATGGTGGCAGCAAGCTAACCAGTACCCTGTCTCCATTCCAGCTCTTCTGGTTTCAATTTTAGTGAGGGCTAAGATTTACCGGCCTGTGGAGCCAGGCTGGAAGGCAGGGAGCCAACAAAATCGTAGGGAGCTGGATCGAAAGGTTCTGTCAAAGGAACCTTGGTGAGTTGCTGCTGTACACCTTGCAGATGATGTTCACTGCTACTACTGAAGGTCAGTGGTAGAGGAAGTGAATGTTGAAGCTGATGGATGGTGTGCTAAACAAATGAGCAGCTTTGCTCTGGATGGTGTTGAAAATTTGCTGTTGGAGCAGCTCCCATTCAAGCAACTGGAGCATAAACCATTAGGCTGTTGTGCATTGTAGATGGTGGACAGGTTTTTGGGAGTCAGGAGTGACTCCCCTCACAATTGCCAGCTGCCAACTTATTCTCATTAATAAGGCTGCTCTAATTCAGTGTCTGGTCAGTGACATCCAGGCTGTTGATGGGGGATTCAGCCCCTGGGGGATGGGCTGCCAGTTTCAATGATTAACTGCCCATTTTTAATGTGCCATTTTGCTGTTGCATGAGCGGCCAGCTAAATGGAGGTGGCCCCTTGTGGGGAGGGGAAGATCTTACACAGTGCAGTAATGATCACAGCGGGGATGGCACCCCTTGTATCTCCAACAAGGTCCCCAGTAGGGATTTCCTTCCTGGACACAGCCCTTTCTTAATTTTAAATCTTGTCTTTGTTTACCTTCTGCAGGATCCTGATTTTCTGCCAGCCTTGGCAATGATCACCACTCCTTGTGGTACTACTGAACTGCTGCCGTCTGTCGATTTCACAATTTTGAGTTTTTCGATACTGGCCCTTCCTTATAAAGTTGGAGTTGCTATTCATTTACTTTTCAGTGTGTCTTTGTTGTTGTTTCCTCCTTAATATGTGCAGCTGGCCTAGTGTTGGTATTAACAAAGAATCTCATGTTACTGCTATTGCCAGTAATTGAGTAAATTGTCCTTCCACTCGCTCTATCTTTCAACTCATCCCTCCCACTCCCACTCCACTCCACCCCCAAAACACACACACACACACACACACACACACACACGGGAGCGTTTCTCACAGACTTGTAAATAAAGTCTATATAAAAACAAAACACCATGGACGCTGGAAATCTGAAACAAACACAGAGAATGCTGAAGAACTCAGCAGATCCAGCAGCACTTGTGGAGAGAGGAACAGTGTTAATATTTCAAGTCTGCTATGACTCTTCCTCAGAACTAAGCAGGCTTTTGAAGAAGAGTCACAACCAAACTTAAAACTTGTTAACTCTGGTTCTCTTTCTATAGATACTGCCATCCCAATAAACTCTGTAGGTAGGTTTTGTAGAGAGGAGTCGGGCCAATGTGATGGCTGGTGGTACTACAAGTTATGGTAACTAGTCATATTGTAATGAAAGTACCAGTAAGTCTGTATGTTATGAGAGATAGGGCATGTGATGGGCCCCAATCACCCATCCATTTAAGAGGCATAGATGGAATTTGTTTTGTCACAGTTCACCTTTGATTTCATTTAGGGGTCTGGGTTCCTGGTCTCCTTCATTACTGTCTGCATTATCTGTTCAGTAGTAAATGGTGCTGGTTGGGCCTTGACGACCTTGTTATGTTTGCAACCATTCTGCAACAGTTTCTTGGAGGAGCAGACAGGCAAAATAACCTGCAACAACTTTTCTTTTTATTCCTTCATGTGGGCATTATTGTCTAACCTAGCTCTTATTGCTCATCTTGAATTGGCCTGGGGAAGGTAGTCATGAACTGCCTTCCTGAACTGTTGCGGTCCTTGGGTGTTGGAAGACCAACAGTAAACTGCACCACTGTTGAATCTGAGTTAAATTTCTCGTTTATGATCAATTTCGGTTTATGGGCCTATTCCTTTTAACTTGTACGTTTCCACACACTGTATCATCTTCAGGTAAGATGGTTGCAACTGGAATAGAAAGGGGGACTTTGTCCCTTGGGTTTAGGTTTTGAATGAGCCTGGGCCACTGAAGTGTCTGCTGAACTATTGATTGATTTGAAAGGTTAATAGAACAGATCATCGTGACCGAGTCTGACTCTGTTTCTTTAGGTCCGTCTCACGTTTCAGTGCAGCAATCAGGGCCAGCAGCAATACCAAGCTCCTCAATGACCATGCCTGTAAATAACCATGGAAGTGCAGGGGGTTACAGTCACTCTGTCCCCTCATCACAAAGTATGCAGATGCAGAGTCAGGGCCAGTCGATGGCAAACTACGGATCTCGGACAAACATGAGCATGCAAACTGGTCAAGGTAAACTTTTGAAAGTTGCCATGTCGTGTTAATGTAATAAATAATTTCAGCATGCGTGACTTTTATATTTCTGAGCAACTTGTATAAAGTATCTCAATTTATTTGATCAGATTTCTTTCACCCTTGAGCAGATGCCAAAATAAATCTTTGAACAATTTACTTAAAATGGCCACAAATATGCTTGAACAGTATAAGCATTTGTCCAGGTCTTTTCTCCTGTCTAGGTGAAACCAGTTTAATATTTTCAAGAGTTCTGAATAGATCTGAGAAGCTTTTGAAGCTTGAGTGTAACCTGCAAATATTGAGGCTGTTTGTATTTTTCCTGACATTCAAAACTCCTATGATAGATGAACGATCATGTTTCCAAAATCTTACTGAAGCCTCTCTTGGCCAGCTTACAATAGGAGCACTTCGAGTGTAGCTGTTTCGCAGTTAGAAATTTGTTTTTTATTCCTTTTGCTGTAATTGGGAACTAAGTGGAGGGGCTTTCTTACCTTTTGTTGAGAGCTAAGTACTAGAATTTATGATGATTTACAGACATGCCTTTTAATTTTTGCCTTCTGCATAGCAGAGAAATTATACTGGCTTGTGAGAGAAACCTGCCGAATGCAATCTTAGCATTTGTCAAGGCAGCTGTTTATGTTGAATTGCCTTCATTTCAAGTTCATGAATATAAAACAGTAGGTTTGTTTTAGGTCAAGAATCTAGCTTTGTTCTATGGTTGTTATGACTAGTGAAGTTCTACTTCAAATCACAATCAATGGCTTCTTCTTTGAGTTGTCTATCTGAAAAATTGACTGGAACACATGGATAAGGACAAAGTGATTGGAAGAGATTTTAACTAAAAATCACTGTCTTTATTTTCCATTTGAGAAAGCCTGACCTGCACACTTCTCAAATATACACCCAATCCGTGTTTCTGTTTGTCTATGATTTGTGTCTTTTCACACAGATGTTGGATTTGCAGCAGATTTTGAGATGTGACAGAGTTTGTGAGGGCTGGGGTGCAGAGCTGGGCCAATTGGAAGTCCTGTCTTGGTTTTGCAACACAGCAACCCAACTCCCCACATTGATTAAAATTCAGTTAAACCTCAGCCCTTATCCTCATACACCCATACACTTTGCATACCAATCTATTCTACCTCAGGTCCCTCATGCCATCCTGTGTCGCAGATTGCTGATGGATCTTCACTAACACCCCACCCCCATTTCACCCTAAGCCGGCTCAAGTCACCCATGCTCCTTCAAACTCTATACATGCTGCGCTATGCTCCCAAATATTGACAATGCTACCCTATGCTCACTCAATTGCCCAGTCACCCCAATACTACCACACACCCCTGCTGAGAACCCCACAGCATCCTCATACAATTCACCCAATACATCCATGTATCTTTCACAGCCATTCACCCAGTATGCACTATGTCCAGTCCTCAGAAGCTATGTGATAGCAATGAGAATTATTCAAAAATCAATAGAAAAGAACCTCTAACAATGATTTAAAGTTCTGAATTCAAACATACTGGCATTGTTACAGGGAGAAAAGTACACTGTTTTAAAAAGTGTGGTCCTTTAAGTACTTATTTGGTTTTTTAAGCGAACACATCACCACATCAAAGGCATATTCTGCATTTTTTTTCTATGGGATGCGAGCATCTCTGGCTGGGCCAGCATTTAGTGTCTATCCCGTTATCGACTTTTCACTGCTCCTAGGAACAAGTGACAATTTATTAAATAAATAAATAATAGTTGCCCTTGAGGGGGTAGTGGTGAGCTGCCTTCCAGAACTGCTGTACTCTGTGTGCCGTAGGTAGACCCAGAATGCCACTAAGGAGGGCGTACCAGGATTTTGACCAAATGATCCATCTGTTATGGCAGGCTCCTTAAAAAAGTTTAAATTATTCTTTGATCGATAATGTATCAGCTGAGCTGAAATAACCATAGCATTTAAAACCCTGTCAGGTATTTCTAATAGCTACAGGAGTTTTAACAACAGAATCCAGCTATATTATCACTAGTGGACTAGATGCGGATTTTGTTTTCAGTTTTCAAACATACAGCTGTTATAATAGCTTTTGCTCAAAATTATATCACAGCACAAAACATGACAGCAGAGATTGACAGAATGCTTGTTTTTACAATTTTATTACACTTTGACATTTTATACACTGAGCAAACTAATATAATGCATGGCAACACTTGTGAAATGATGGTCAATGTAAGGATCAACTTACCTTTGCATTAAAAAAAAGATCTACATTACAATACAGCATCGAGTATTGACACTTGAAGGTGTCAAAACATTTTAAGTTTATCTTTCAGAATGTTGCAGACACCTCATAGGTTTTACGTAGTGTTCATGAACTCTTCAAGGAGTTGTGTGTTTTGTTTTCAGAACTTCTAAAATTCACACTAGTACAAGAAATGGGAATCCTCATCTCAGAACAGGCATGTGAATGCACGTGTGTTTTAAAATGAGACCTTCCAAACCCATGAAAAGACCACATTAAAATGGTGTGAGGTCAGGAACTTAGATGGAGATAGGGTTTTTCGTTTTCTTGGAGAAGCAAAGTTCAGTGTTTTACGATGTGATTCACACCTCCTTTGGGAGATGAAAATCTGGCCCCAGATTTTCATTGAATCTGTCTCCATGCCAATTGACCTATAGAAACATACTTTTCTACAGCTATAATAATGACGGTAATTGACGTTCTTGTGGGATGATCAGCAGATTTGAACGAAGCTTAGTCAGAGTTATATTTTTGAGAAAGCGTTTAAAGGTAGGAAGATAGAGAAAAGGAAGGGTTTGTCAAAGAATTTCTAAATGATCAAGCTGACACAGCCAAGGTTCTGTAATTGAAGGTGGAGTAAAGGAGAGCAGAAAATGCACAGCAGGCCTGGGAGAGGCCTGACATACAGTGAAGTGACATACAGCTGGAGCAAGTTATAGAAATGGTGTAGAATGAAGATGTGGAAGGAAATGTAATGAAGACCACCATGATACAGCTGAACTGTCACAATCATAATTGAGGTACAGGGAATCAATTTAGGTTATCAAGAACAGTGTGACGAGCAAATATGTTTAAAATGGGAAAAGGTTTTGAGGAAAAAAGACATACATTTTAAGATAGTTCCAAATCTATATCTAATTGGCCAAATTAAAAATTGATACCAGTAAGTAAATGGAAACAAGTAGTTCAAAAGAGTTAGAGCATATGAACTGCTCAAAAAGATTGGTTATTAGAAGCAGCTTAGCAGCTGAACCCAATTTTGATTTAATATGTAAATAGTTAAACAGACATGCTCTAATTCACCTTTTACTGTTTAATATAAAATGTGTTTCAATGTCTTCACACTTAAATTTCTGAATTTCTGTGTCAAATAAACAAAGTAATTGCAGTGCCTGTGATGACTCGAAGGATTTAGTGTAATACTACACTATCCAAATCAAAAAAGGCCTCAGGTTTGTTCCATGGCTGTTTTCAGAGATAAATGGTAGGGTTGCCAAAAATCTATTGTGCTGTCAATAGTTTCAGGAAGTAAGAAGGCAGAAACAACCAAGATTCCTTCTCCTTCTAGCTGTCCAATAAACATTGAACATATCTGAATATTTTAGTGAGGACATGACAAGGCAGAGCTTTGATCCTGTTAAATAGTTTTTGGTTACTCCTTATCTAAAATAACACAAAGGAAGTATTTAAATTAAGCACAAAAGGGCTGCCAGTGAGAATGGAATAAAAGCTAATATGAGGCATGTTCTGCAGAAAAGGAAAATACTTTGAGGAATTTGGAGTGAGGCGAAGAGAAATGGATTTCTATAGTGGCATGACTGTAGAGTTGTGCTGATGATGCTTGCTCTGGACATGTAATGTGCTCCTTCACAGCCTTCGCATTGAAGTTCTAATGATTGAAAGCTGCTGATTAGCTAGTTGGCTCTTTCATAACTCATCAAAATGGGAACAGCTTTGCAGCAGGCTGTCAGTGCTTCTAATTCGCTTGAATCTTCGGCAGTGCAATGCACAAACTGCTTTTATATTCGAGTTAAAGTTATGTTCTAACCTCATTGATGTTTAGTGATTGTGATCCTTTCACTGGGCTGTTTAGTCGTTATGACAATAAAATTTAAATGGAAACAACTTTAGATTAAATAGTGCAGTTTAGTTATTTCAGAATTTGGTATGGGCTTCTCAGTATTTTGACCATTGAATAAAATATTCAAATTGCTGGTATAATTTGCTTATTATGGGAATATACCACATTGGGGCATAGTGCTTAGGAAAACTTGCACGTTCTTTCTTGAGCATAAGGAATTTATCTTTTTTTAGTAGACTTGCTTAAATTTATTTTACAGTTCCTATGATGCACCAGCAAGCCGCAACCTCACATTACAGCACCCCGCAGGGAAGTGGTCAGCATTACCAAGGGCCATCAGCCATGGGGATGATGGGACAAAGTAATCAAGGCAACAACATAATGGGGCAAAGGCCAATGGGGCCATATAGGTCATCACAACAAGGTATGAATTGTGTTTGTGACTGTATAACTTGATTTGGTATTTTTCGTGCATTTTTCCAATTCCCTATATTGTAGTTTTTTTTTCTTGGCTCTGTGCTAAATGAATAGCATAAGTTGCTGTTTGGTAAATATTGTTGTCTTCAGCAGGATATTTAAATGAAGGAAATGTATTCAGTAGGCATTGCACATAAAAAGCAAATGCTCTCCTATCAGTTTGTGTTTTAAATATCATTAATTACTGCAAGGAAAAAGTGGCAAAGAACTTGCAAAGAACATTAAAGCAAGTTGTTATTTTTAAAGTTTGGCATTTTTAAAGGGTAGATGAATTATGTGGGGTGGCTATGTTTAGTTGCTTTACCTTGCTTGCTACCTGCCTGTGCTCAGTTAATCTCTATAGGGAAGTATTGTGAACAGAAGTATTGTAAGTTTCTCTAATCAGTAGCTATTTACTTCTCTCCTTTCCCTCAAAAACTTCTTCAAAGTTATCAATAAATTAGAAAAAATAAAAATTTTCTTCTTAATATTTGTAGGTTGTAAATTGTTGGTGTATTTTACAGGATATATCTAAATTGTGCCAGATGCTCTTAAAAACTTTTTTTTTGCCATGTTTAAATTCAATTTTGATGTTGAGTTCATATTTCTTTGGATATGGGTTCATTTTGGGGAGGGGGGAAATGAAATTTGGAACTTCTTTATGGTGTAGTGCGATGTTTTATTTCACTTTTAATTTGTAATGTATAAGATATAAACTTTGGACCAAACATCTAGTTGTATTACTATGTTGTCTATAATTTGTTTGTAGAAGATTGCACTGAAGGTGCAAAGAAAGAGATGGTGGCATAGTGGTAATGCCACGGGACTAATAATCCAGAGACCCCATAGTAACTAGTGAAACCTGAATTCCATTAATAAAAATGGAATATAAACCTGGTCTTGGTGATGGTGGTGATCATGTCAACTATCATCAATTTGTTGCAAAACTCATCTGGCTCACTAATCTCCTTTTAGGGAAGGCAATCTGCCATCCTTATCTGGTTTGGCCTACAGGCAACTCCAAACACACAGCATGTGGCTGACTGTTAACTGCTGCCTGAATGACCTAGCAAGCCACTCAGTTGAAGAGCTAATAAGAATAGGTAACAAGTGCTGTTTATGCCAGTGATGCCCAGATCTCATGAAAGAATAAAGAAAAAGAAGGGTTATGTATGCACATTTGTCTCTGTGCACACACGAGCGAGTGAGTGAGAAGACTGATGTGTATGAAGTCAAGAGGTATGTGGTTTTCGAAGCAATCAGGATTGATCTTGACTCCGGCAATGTGACGTGCTACATTTTGGTAAATCAGGGCAGGATTTATATGTTTAATGGTAAGGTCTTGGGGAATATTACTGAACAAAAAGTCCTTGGAATGCAGGTTCATAGTTCTTTGAAAGTGGAGTTGTATGTTAGCGAGGAAGGCGTTTAGTACACTTGCCCTTATTGGTCAGTACATTCAGTATAAGCGTTGAGAGGTTATGTTGCTGCTGTAGATGATATTTGTTAGGCCACTTTGGAATACTGCATTCAATTCTGGTCTCTTTGCTATAGGAAAGATGTTATTAAGCTTGAGATGGTTCAGAGGAGATTTACAAGGATGTTGCCAGTGTTGGAGGGTTTGAGCTATAGGGAATGGCTGGGACTATTTTCCCTGGAACATCGGAAGCTGAGGGGTGACGTTTTACAAGTTTATGAAATCCTGGGGGGCATGGATTGGGTGAATAATCAAGGTCTTCTCCCCCAGGTAGGGGAGTCCAAAACCAGAGCATATGGTTTAAGGTGAGAGGGTAAAGGTTTAAAAGCGACCTAAAGGGCAGCTTTTTCACACAGATGGTGGCGCGTGTATGGAATAAGCTGCTAGAAGAAGTGGTGGAGGCTGGTACAACATTTAAAAGACATCTAAATGGATATACGAATAGGAAGGGTTTAGAGGGATACAGGCCAAATGCTGGCAATTGGGACTAGATCAGTTTATGATAACTGGTCGGCATCGACGAGTTGGACTGAAGGGTCTGTTTCCGTGCCGTACAGCTCTGTGACTCTATGACTGTATAGTCAATCGGGCTAAAAATGGAGACAGATTCATAATGGGCTACTCACCAACTTTACAGTATGGAATTCTTATTTTATTTGATCATGTACATGGCAGTGCACAAACCATCTTCCTTGATAATTCAGTCGTTCAACTAACTTTGCTTCCTGACTCAAAGCTCTTGTCTTATTTGAATGTGAAAACATCAGCTGTGCACCACTATCTCAATAATAAAGTTGGCATCAATTAATTTTCTTAATTCAATGTTGTTAAATTTACACTATTGAATAATTCACTTTGAGTATGGAAAGCAACGCTGAGTTGTCAGATTTAAGTTACAATCCTGCCACAAAAAAATTAAATTTGAGAGTCTGGTTAAGTCAAGATCTTAATCAGCTCTGCTTTCGGTATAATGGTAATACCTCTGTTGTTACATATTTATAGATTTTAAAGAGTGATTCCAGACAAAGCAACACCTGCATATTGTAAATGGCTTTTCACACATTAATGGCTTACACACTTTGTAATGCTGTTGAATTAATACTGTAATAGGATCATAGTCATGCAGCAAGGAAATGGACCCTTTGCCCCAACTCCTCCATGTCGACCAGGTTTCCTAAACTGAACTTGTCCCAGTTACCTGCATTTGGCCTATATCCCTTGAAACTGTTCCAATTTGTATGCTGTCCAAACGTCTTTTAATTGTACCCAACTCAATCACTTCCTCTGGTAGCTCATTCCATATACATACCATCATCTGTGTGAAAAACTTGCCCTTGGATTCCTTTTAAATTTTTCCCCTCTGAACTTAAATGCCCCATGGCCTCTAGTTTTTGACTTCCATACTCTGCGAAAAGTCCTTGACTATTCACTTTATTTATGTCCCTCATGATTTCATAAACCTCTATAAGGTCATCACTCAGCCTCCTGCACTCAAGGGAGAAATGTCCCAGCCTATCCAGCCTCTCATTATAACACAAACCTTCCAGTCTCAGTAACATCCTTGTGAATCTTTTTTTGCACCCTTTCCAGTTGCATAACATCCTACCTATAGCAGGGTGACCAGAATTGTGCACAGTGGTCCAAATGTGGCCTTACCAATGTCTTGTACAGCTGTAACATGGCGTCCCAACTCCTGTACTCAATGCTCTAACCAATGAAGGCAAACGTGCCAAATATATTCTTCAGGACCCTGTCTGTTTATGACGCTACTTTTAAGGAACTATGTACCTGCACGTCTAGATCTCTCTGTTCAACAACACCCCCCAGGCCTCTACTATTAACTGTGTAAGACCTGCCCTGGTTTGTCTTACCAAAATGCAACACCTCACATTTACTAAATTAAACACCATCTGCCATTCCTCAGCCCAGTAGCCCAGTTTATCAAGATCAATGTAGGAAATAGAGCAGTAATTTGCAAAATGAAGATCCCGCAAATGAGATAAATGACCCCATAGTATTTTAGTAATGTTTTGGCTAGGGGACTATAACAAATCTTCTAGCTGTCTTTATACGTTCACTTTAGAGAGTGAATAAGCCTCTTTCATCACCTTTTCTGAAGATTGGTGAACTTAACTCCATGGCTGTAGCACAAACTGAGGTAAACAAAGCAATTATTCCAATAAGTTCCTTTTTGATGCTTTGAATATTTGAATCTTCAGTATTCTGATAAATGTAAATCAGAAGGCAGCTGAGAGTCATCACAGTGGAATTCTGGGAGACTGCCACAGTCATCATGACTGTGCAGCAATTCGGGGAGAACGTGGTGTCAAGGTGTGGTTAGGCCTGAAACACTACATTGGTGTTTCCCACCCTCCTTCCTCCTCTGACCAAAGAAAAGACTCTGTGAGGAGGACAACTGACAAGGTTAAGGTGTACAAGGGAGCAGCCATTAAGAGAGTGGAAGGCCTTTGCTTGAGAAGTTTCGGTGTGAGGAGGCTGAGAAAGGGTACAGGTAAGAGCAGGTAAGGGCTCTTTAACTCTACTTTCTTTCTGGCTAGATTGAAGGCAGTAGGGATGACAGTTAGGGCAGTGGCACACTCCTCTTGCAGGATGTGGGAGACCAGGGAGACTTCCAGTGACTCTGGTGGCTACACCTGTAAGAAGTGCACCCGGCTGCAGCTCCTGACAGACTACGTTAGGGAACTGGAGCTGGATGCACTCAGGGTCATTCAGGATGCTGAGAACCTTTAGTGGTCACTCCGAAGGTGCAGGCTGCAGGTAGCTGGGTGACCACCTGAAGAGGTAAAGGGGGAAGGCAGATAGTGCAGGGTACCCCTGTGGCCATTCCCCTCAACAACGGGTATACTGCTTTGGATACTGTAGGGGGATGACCTTTCAGGGCCTAGCAGCAGCAGTAAGGTCAGTGGCACTGTGACTGGCTCTGAGGGAAAGGATGCAGTCAGACAGAGCGATACTGATAGGAGACTCAATTGTAAGGGGGACAGACAGGAGATTCTGTGGCTGCAGAAGAGACACCAGGCTGGTGTGTTGCCTCCTGGGTAGCAGGATCAAGGATGTCTCTGAGCGGTTGCAGAACATTCTGAAGGAGGATGGTGAACAGCCAGAGGTCATTGTTCATGTCAGTACAAATGACATAGGTAGACAAAGGGATGGGTCCTGCAAAATGAGTAGAGGGAGTTAGGTAAGAAGTTAAAAAGCAGGACCTCAAGGGTAGTGATCTCTGGATTACACCCAGTGCTACGTGCCACTGAGGATAGAAATAGAAAGGTAGGGCGGCACGGTGGCTCAGTGGTTAGTGTTGCTGCCTCACAGCACCAGCGTCCCGGGTTCGATTCCACCTTCGGGTGACTGTCTGTGTGGAGTTTGCACATTCTCCCCGTGTGTGCGTGGGTTTCCTCCAGGTGCTCCGGTTTCCTCTCACAGTCCAAAGATGTGCAGGCCAGGTGGATTGGCCATGCCAAATTGCCTGT